GCCGGCCTGGATGGACAGAACCCCGGACCGGCAGCGGGCTGAGCGGGGCCAGTGGCCGGGATCCCGGCTGGCAGGGGCCGGTGGACAGAACCCCACACCAGCAGCACAGGTGGCAGACGGAACCCCAGACGGGCAGTGCGCTGAGCTGCTCAGTCCGATGACTGTCTGGGGTTCCGTCCGCCAGCCCTGCCAGCCGGGGTCCCTGCCGCCGGCCCCGCTCAGCCCGCTGCCAGTCTGGGGTTCTGTCGGGGACCCCTGTTAATGTAAAATGTATTACTGGCACACGAAACCTTAAATTACTGAAGACTTGGCACGCCACTTCTCAAAGGTTGCCGACCCCTGGACTATACCATCAGGGTGAGACATGGCTTGATTGATATCCTGTCTAATTTACAGAACTCAGATTGTGATTTTATTTTTATTTCTTAGGTAACCAATTTTGATCTGTGGGTTTATTACTTATAATCACTTAAAATCTGTCTTTCTGTAGTTAAAAAATCTGTTCTATATTTTACCTAAAACACTGGGTTTTGCTTGAAGTGCTTGGGGAATCTGCTCAGCGTACAAAAGCTGGCACATGTCCACTTTCCTTCGTAGAGGTGGCAACTGGGTAATAAACTTACACTGGTCAGGCTGGGGAGCTATGGGGAATTGGCTGGAGCTTCTCTATTGCTGGTTCACGAGTGGCTAGGAAAAGCATTCACGTAACTCAGCTGTGTGTGTCCCTGCGTAAGTGCAGGACCTGGAGAGGTTTGCAGATTGTCACAGCATCACAGTGTGAGAGGGAACCCAGATTGTTATGACAGAGGGCTCAGTGATACCCCAGTTCCAGGTTGTGACTCAGGGAACCCATCACAGTGATATGTACCCAGTCAATATGGGGATAGGTGAAATTCCCCATTATTATTGAGTTTATTTTTATAGCTTCTCTAATCTCCCTGAGCATTTCACAGTCACTATCACCATCCTGGTCAGTAGTATATCTCTACTGCTATATTCTTATTATTCAAGCATGGAATTACTAGCCATAGAGATTCTATGGTACAGTTTGGTTCATTTAAGATTTTTTTCTTCATTTGACTCTACGCTTTTGTTCACATATAGTGCCACTCCCCCACCAGTACGACCTATTCTGTCCTTCTGATATATTTTGTACTCTAATACTACAGTGTCCCATTGACTATCCTCATTCCACAAAGTTTCTGTGATGCCTATTATATCAATATCCTCATTTAATACAAGGCACTCAAGTTCACCCATCTTAATATTTAGCCTTCTAGCATTTGTATATAAGCACTTAAAAATTGTCTCTTTTTAGCTGTCATGTGATATAACTGAATGGGCTCTTTTTCATTTGGCTGTTTCTCATCAGATTCTATCCATATTTTATATATTCCATCCTCTCCTCCTTACTAAGATACAGAGAATCTCCGTTAGTAGATCGTCCCTTACGAGATATCTCAGTCCAAACCACATGCTCCTCCACACCTGTCGGCTTTCCCTTAGTTTAAAAACTGCTCTACAACCTTAGAATTAAGAAATTGACAGATTAAACCTACTCTGTTGCCGCCTCATCCCTTTTTGCATGTAAGTGTTCCTCTTCTGCCAGTAATATCCGATACTGGCTACTTATAAATTTATTTTCATGTTTAAGTTTTCTATTCAGGCCTTCAGCTGTACGTAATTCTTCCTTAGCCTAGAAATAAAGACCAAAGATAGTTACTAAATATTCATTCTAATTCCCAGTCTATTTTACATATATCTAATAGTCACAGTAATAATACTTTGTACTGCCACATCACCTTCCATCAGAAAATCTGAAAGACTTTTAAATTAATTAAACTTCACAGCACCTGTGTGACCCTAAGAGCCCCTCAGTACCAACTTGCAAAGCCTATAACATACTGATCTTCATAATTGTTACAAGATATATGTACAGATACTATTTAAGGAGCTGTGACTATGTCCCAAAATTGGTGTCCAAGGTAGAGCTGACAAACAGGTTTGGGGTCAGATAAAGGACGTTGATGCACCTGTCTCTCTGTTGGCTATGTAGATTAAGCATGATAAGCCAACACAATGGGAGCCAAATCTGCCTGCAGACTAAGCAGGAGTATGTGAAGACACCTTGGAGCCAGCATCCCAGGAAAAGAACCACAGGGGTCATCCTGACTCTGGGGACAAAAACAGTGGTCTTTGGCATATAAGAGGAAGGCAAGAGGACATCTTTTTTATCTTTCACTGAGGAAGCAAAAGAACCGCCCTTTTTGCATTCATGGAAGTTGAATCCTAGCCATATTGGTTAGTGATGCTGGAAGAAAGCTTTGTGTAACATAAAACTGCTTTCAGACAGATGTTTAGCCTGTTAAAGTTAAGTTCAGACAATGAGAAGTGTGTTATACTTGGTTTTTTATATCAGAGGGTAGCCGTGTTTGTCACTTTTTACAGATCCAGACTAAGAGTCCTGTGGCTCCTTATAGACTAACAGACGTATT